ACAGAGCAAAATTCAATGCACAAACTTGAGAGTCCATAGATCAACAACACACATGTCAATGGCAGAGCAACTCAACGTTGATCGCATGGCTTGCATGCGAGTGTCAATCGATTCTTGTTCTCATTGATGGAACAAGATCACACACAGACAAATCAAGGAGTAAAAAAAAAGTCAGCCATGGAAGCTAAAGAAATTTAGGAGACTTTTCCATTCTCTGAGTTTCAGGTAACATTTCTCATCATTGAGTCTAATTCTTAAGATGATTTACTTTTTCTGATTCTCTACCTTAAGTTCTAAATCTGTGATTTGCAGTTGAATTTATCGAATTTGGTCATTATGCTGAGGAATAGATATAGAGCAGTGACGACCAAGCAAGCTCTAATGGCGGACCAGAGCTCTCTAGCTTCTCTCCCACCACATCACACCATACCCATTTCTTCTTTCTGTGGTTCTCCAAGGTTTTTCAATGGCTTTCAAGCAATGGGTCACTCTGAAACTGAAAAAATGAGTCCTATTCCTAGTTCAATTCCTGACATCAAACCATTCTCCCCTGTTGGCAACCAATTCCCCAACAATTTCTCAGGAAACAAACACTCTTGGGAAATTTAAACTTGAAAGGCATTGGTCTTTCATAGTACTAGTATGTATAATTAGTTTGAATTGCATCTTTTGTGCCGATCTGTTTTGTAATAACTTTCAACTTAACATATTTTGTTCAGTTTAATGGGCTTCTTCACATTTAAATTGACATGCAAGGTTTTGCTCTTATTGTTTTGGTCTTTATTTCTACATTTGTGCCACTGTGTTGCAGGTATCAAGCATACAATCACGAGATGACCTTTTGTCAATGTTAGTTTTTGGGCATGAGACCACTGGTTCAGTGTTGACTTGGACAACATATCTTCTGAGCAAGGTATTGCATATAGTACCTTTTATTTTAATGAGTGTACCTTTTATCTTAATGATCTGTGTCTCCCTTTTCTGTTGTTTACCATTGTAGATTCTATACTTCTTGAGGATTGGCTTGATGTTGATTCAAGGGCTAGTATTTTTTTCCTTTTCAATTTCCTTGAGTTAAACATTGTCATAGTTCATCCCTGTGATAAATTTTGTCCTTGTGTATTTCCTTTTCATTTGTTTTTACTTTGAATTACTATAATTACATACGATTCTGAACATTCAGTGAAACAACAACACTAAATGAAAGTTAGTTTCTTTCCCGTTAAATTGTTTTAGTATTGAACAACATGAGTTGGTTACCAACACCTGCTTGAGCAGTCAAACATACGTGACAGTGCTGCTGAATGCAATAGTTTTTTGAACTTTTCATGATGCTGATGTGTGCTCAATATGTTGATGTTGTAATTTGATGATAAATTTTGAACTATTACAGACATGTATTTGGAATAGAGTAGTACTAGTAGAGTTCAAAATCTGCTTTGTGGAACCAGGGATTGCAAAGTTTAATCCTTTTGATTGTGAATTGGCCAGAACCAAGTTTTACATTCATTCTTAGATTCAGTAAATGCTTATATACAGAGAATTCATCATGGTTCAGTAGTTGTCTACAACATCTCTGTTTCTGAAGTTTGATTTTCTTCACTCTTCTGCTGCTGCTTGCTATGTTTGAACTTACCATAGAAGTAGGAAACCCAATTCTCTGCTTGAAATTTGGATGGGACTCTGGCACTTTTCAGGTTATGTGGGTTTGCCTTGTAGAGTGAATAATGCTCATTCATGTCATGCTTTCTTTCTTCTAGGCCATAGCCCTCTTATCTGCTGCCTTGGCTATTGCATTCTGAAGCGAGGCATTGGAGTTTATGTCAAATGGTGTCACTATGCATTTATGTGATGTTTGCTGTTTGAACCTATTCAGAACACAGTAACAGTTTTTACTAATATTCGTTCATATTTATAATGTGGGTCTGACCTTGGTTTTGGCTATAGATGATGTTGCTAGATCTGTTTCTTCAAGTTTTATTTTATTTTTTCTAAAAAAACAAAGAGTGGTCTTTCTTTCTTCCTCTTCCCTCACAGTTCTTTTAGTTCTTTCTCTTATATTGTGTATAACATGACAAATATCTAACTACCAATCTAGTGCATTTTTCACTATTTAAATTATAATCACTTGTACCCCTCACGAATAATTCCAGAACAGCATCTATGTTTTAACTCTATTTTGCTTCGTAGGCTGTATGTGTCAGGGTATCAGTTGAACCAAAGAAAGCAATTCAAAAGCTCCCTAGAGTCCAACATCTCTATGCCCCGATTGACGGGGAGGTTGAGAAGTGAAGATGATGAGGTGAAGTTCAACATGTCAAGTAAGTAAGTTTAGCTTTTATTTTAATAAATAAGATTTCCAGTTCAGAATTTATCTGTACCGTCTTCTGTATCGGAAACCTGTTACGTAACCATCTAAAATTGTCTTCCTTAACCAATATATTGTGAACATTGATGTTGTTTCATATGTGGGTGTGTATGTATATAATTATTTGACTTTAGATTTTGAATGTTTCATATGTTGATAATGAATGTCTAGTTGACTAGTTTCTCTTACACGATTGCTTTGTTACAAGTTTGAGGTATTGTCTTCCCTTCATCCAACTCCAGCAGTTTGTGGGTTTCCTACAGAAGAGGCACGTGTTTTAATTGCAGAAACTGGTACATGTATATTGCTATATCATTTCTGTTCTGCAATCTATGTTTTATGGCTTGTTTACATCGACGTGAAATTTTTAAGATGAGACATAATTCAATTCTTGACTGAAGTTGAACAAGAAAGGAATCAATGATTTAAAGAAAGTATACATAGTTATCTTGCCTAGACGGAATCATATATCATGATTTACACTTGCCTGTAATGCTTATGTGTTTACTGTCCATTTAGTGCGACTCGTCTAATTTGAAGTACATATAACAGTGATAAGAATTGCACTATTAATGAATTCAATCTTTACTCTAGAACACTAGATTTAGGCTGACTAACATTGGTCATATTATTGTCCTTATGGTTTTGGTTCCACTTCCTGATGTGTTTTGGCAAAAGACCTCTGGTTTATTTTCAGTAATGATGCTCAATTACTAACTGATGCAGCAGATGATCGACTTGTATCAAGTCATAGACAAAAAAATTTAAGGTGGTATCTGAATTTTTACTTTGACATAGACAAAGAAATTTAGGTCAACACTTTGAAGATGGAATGTTGAGTAATCTAAAATTTATGAATGTTACAAGCAAAACTAGTTCAGGTTGTAAACTGCCACACTTTCAAGCACAATCTCAAGCACAATCTCATATAACTATTTATTATTATTATTATTATTATTATTTTCTCTTACGATGCAGTTACCAGTTGATGCAAATGATGCTGAGCTTGAATCCATTGGTTATAAATTTGCAGTGCACTTTCTTATTATTATCTTCCTACTGTCCTAATACAATGGTATCAATCAAAAGGCAAACCAATTGCCTTGGGTAGTTCAGGATTTGTAGTTCTATTTACAGCTTAGCTAATTTTGAGTGTATTAGATTGCTTTGACAACAAACACATTATGTTTTGTGCCAGAATAAAATTTAGTGGAGACTTGGTTACTGTAACTCCTGATATTTTTCAAGTTCCTCTTAGCTCAGATGCAGAATTTATACTATTAGCATCTGATGGCTTATGGGATTACATCAACAGGTTTGTGGTTTCCTGTTTGAACCTTGTACTTACATTCTGTAAATTATCTTAAACTAGCATGATAGTTATTTATTTAATATTTTTCTCAATTAACCACAAGATGAGTATTATCTCGTCAACTTTGCTATTGTTTCAGCTCAGAAGCAATTAATTTTGTTAGGAATCAGCTTCGGCAACACGGAGATGTTCAGGTAAAACTTTTTACTCAATTCTGGTATACTAGTGTTATGGTTTACAAAGTTTTAGCTTCTTTTGTTCTGATTTTTGTTAGCTCGTGAGGCGCTTGGAAGAGCAGCTCTGGTAATGGATGCATAGATGTTTATTTTTCTTGCACAATGCTTGATCATACTTGTATTGCTTGGCTGTTCTAATTACCTGCAAATTTATGTATATTACAGGACTGACGTTCGCAAGATAATGTTAGCATCGTCATTGCTGATTTGGGGTATGCATTTGGATGCATTAAGTTAATTTAATCTAATGCTTTCCATTCTAATATAATGTGTCAATCTATTGTACTGATATTAACCTTTCTAATTTGGTCCTGGCTGTGACTTTTTGCAGGAGGATAGATTGGCAAAGTTTGCCTAGTCAGAAAGAAAATTTTGTTTATGAACTGGGCAAGCTTTTGCTACTATTGGTATTGTGTCATTAGGAATATGGATGTCTTCTCTGCTTTCTACATGAGTTTTCAAGCCTGCTAACTTTGTAAATAAATCCTCACGAATTTCCAATATATTTTGTAATTGTACATGTATCACATCTTATTGCATTATTTTTTATTTTGTTTTCAAGCTTAGTTTATTTATTATTTTAATAAACATCAATTATTAGTTCTTAATAATTGTTTATGACAGGTATTTTTTTAGTTAAACTATATAAAATTAGCACAACTTCAAAAATAAAAAAAAGGCTATGGTGGCGTTTTTTAAACGTCACTATATCCCTACCCAACGGTTAGATTTTTAAAATATATAAATGTCTATGACGGCGTTTCCAAAACGTCGCTAAATGTCATAGTGACGTCATAGTACAGTTAGGGTAGTATATTTGGCGGCGTTTTTAAAAACGCCGCCTATACTAATTTAACGACGTTTTTCAAACGTCATAAAGCTATAGCGACAGCCACGTCATCGGCGTTTGGTACTAAACGTCACAAAAAGAATTAGCGACGTTTTTAGTATCTATAGCGATGTTTTTAAAACGCCGCTAAAAGTCGATTTAAGTGTATAAGGACACCATTCTCTATCTGTACAAATAAATACATCATTTTCTCTCTCTTTCTTTCTCTCTCTCTCTCTCTACCCAACAAAACCCTTAAACATAATCACTCTCACACTCACTCTCTTTCTCTCTCTTCGAATAATCGAAGAACCCGTCTAATGGCACATATTCGCCATTATTCTCAACGCCGGCGATCCCAAATTCGAACAAGTCATAACTTAGGATCTGATCATCAAACCTCCACATCTCACAGAATTTGGTCGACAAGTCAAATGAAACTTGCAGCAACTCAATGACGTCTTCATCGCTCGTCGTCATATTTAATAAAGGAAGACCAAGCTCGTCATCAGAAGCTTCAATAAGGAAACCTAGATCAGGTTGAGACTCACTAGAATATAACGTCAGATCGACCACTGTCACAGGTGGTGAAGCGATTATCTCTACCTCAAAGCTCTTCATAAAGGAGTCTAGATCTAGACTTGTCGTGCATACATCTAAGTCATCGAGATTGCAAAGGAGATTGTCTTTGAGTCTCATTACCTCCGATGAGTCAGATTTTAACTTGTATGAGAGAGAGAGAGAGAGATAGAGATAGATAGAAAGATAGATAGAGAGAAATAATATGTAGGTTTATAGAGAGAGATGGGTTTTAGAGATAGCAAAATATGTTTGATTCAATGTTCAAGAACGTCTAGCCAATCATCATTGGTTATTGATTTAGGTTTGGGGATGCTGAAGACAAGCTGGCTAATTCAAATCTGAGTATGGTTGGAAACTCAAAGGACAGACTCTAATGAAATGGGTTTGTAAAGAGAGAGTTGGATATTGAACAGATAAAAAAATATTTTGACAGATACAACCTCTCTCTCTCTCTCTCTCCCACTCTCTCTTTCTCTCTCCTCTCTATATATATTTGTATGTGTATGAGAATTTGAATAGATAGAATAAAAAATTGAACAAATATGAAAAAAACAAGCTTGGTGAATTTCAATAGATATGGGAAACAAGCTTGGTGAATTTCAATAGATAGGAAAAAATAGACTTGGTGAATTTTAATAGATAGATACAAATTTGAACAAATAGGTTAGAAAAATTGAATAGATAAAAAAGAAAGAAAGATTTGGATAGATAGGTTAAAATAAAAATTTCAACAAATAGGTGGTAATATCCTTTTAACTAACAAATGTCCTTATCACCAAAATAGATTTTTCTTTAGATCTAATATTATACCTTCGTTCAATTAGACTTTTCATAAATTTTCTCTTTCAAATTTGTATTTAAATATTAAAAAAAATCACTGGTATTTATTGTAAGCACTATTAAGTGCTAAGTTGGAGTGTAAATTTGTTTACACACGCCATCTCATTGAATCATTTTATATTTTTTGTGAGACCATCTCATTAGTTATTATTATTATTATTATTTGGTAACCCTTAAACCCCCAAGGCTGAGCCCTTAGGACCCGATCCTATAAGCCAACTCAAGAGAGGATGTCGAGGACCTTACCCCCCACTACCTAATTTCAGTCAAGGGCTATAAGAAGACTAGTAGAGGTTTTAAACCCTGAACTTATTGTCATGCTGGCTAATACCTTACCATGTTATCCAACCTTGGGATATCTCATTGGTTATTTATTGGTTTAGAAAAAAAGAAGAAAGTAATTTGTATTTTTGTGAACAAATTTTCTATCGTAAAACCAAGCCCTGCTACACTTGTATTAGGGTTGGATATCGGCCCGTTAACCCGCCTAACCTAGCTCTATTTTTCTAAGGCTTTGGAAAGTTACTTTACTCCATAGGGCCAGGCTGGACCAACATTTTCAATCCGAAATATTAATAGGCTGGGCTTCAGATTTATACTTTCAACCCAACTTGGCTTGCTAATTAATTAATTTAATATTTATAATACATTAATATATATATATATATATATTTGGGATCTAAACTTTATCTTTATTAATTTTATTAAAACTCACATTTATGGTGATATATGATTGAATTTATTTGAGAAATCCTTCAATCTATATTCAAAATCTTTCAATTTATAATAATGTCAATATATTTATTTAAGAAATATAATGTGTAATTAAATTTAATTATCGAATGTTTTAATTTTTTTAATCACATAGCCCGATTTATAGATTTAGGATTTATAATTATTTTTTAAATCGAATTTAGACAAATATAAAGTCTCGATGTTAAGACCTAACCAGACTTAGATAGGCACAAAATATCTTATTACGGGTTTGGACCGCCATTTGCCCACCCTTAGGGCTATTTTGGGAAGACAGCTAAAAACCAACTTTCAACTTTTAACTCATTTTAAATCATAAGGTGATTTTACTTACACAACTACTTTACCTCTTTACATTCTCTATATGAGTGTTTTTCCCCCCCCCCCAATTTTATCCACGTGTAAAATTACCTTTAAGGAGAAAACACTAAAATTAAATATATTTTGTTATCTCCTTATATTCTTGGTCTTCAATTCCCACTCTTCTTTTTCCTTTCTTAATTTTTCTTTTCTTTTACACATCTCTTTTCAAAAAATGAGAATCATAGTATTTTGATCATTAAAGAAAATAATAGATGAAGAAACAGTGGTGAAGAACCATCAAAAAAGTAAAATGGTGAGTTTTTTTTATTTATTTGGTAGGTTTTTGTTACGTTTTTCTAGACTGGTATTCGACTTTCGTTCGGTGGTTCGAAATCGAACAAAATAAAATAGTTTAGCATCACATTGCCGAACAAAAAATATAAGTCTGGTAACCAACTACAAAATAAAAGATACATTTTCGGTAACCCCAAACCAAATTTTTTTTAATTTGTTCGGCTTCTCATTACCATGTATTTTTAGTTTCATTTTTTTATATTTTTAATTTTTTTGCCTGGAAGGATTATACTTATATTCATTTCAACAATGCAAGTACTGCAATATTAGTGGACTCTAGTCATGAATTCATTACAGACGAGATTTGTTAAGTTTTTTTTTTTTTTATAAATACAATTTCTTCTTATTTTTAATTTGTATTGAGTTTTATTAATAATTTGACGTATAAATGTATTATCTTTAGATTTTTCGTAGTCGTGAAGCATTAATTAAATGGACTTCTGACGTTGGAAAAAGCCTAGATTTGTCATTGTTATAAAGACATCATGCGGAAGGTAATGGCAGAAAACTAAGACTTACACTTTCTTGTAAAAGAAGTGATTATTATAAAGGCAACAGGAAGATCAAGGGGGAACGATTCAGATTGATACGTTCTAAAAAGTGTGGACGTTTATTTCTATTAAGAGAGGAAAAATTACTTACAAATTACCAAGACGAATTGTGATAGCATGTTTAATTGATGGATGCAAACAATGACAGATTTTATTGATACTTTATGGATATTCGTACACTTAATGTTTTTATGGATACTTTTTATGTATGATTTTATGGATGCGTGTTTGATTTATGAATTTTTTTATGGATGCTTCAAGAAAAAAGTAAATATTTCAATGTACAACAACGGGGGCTTAGACAACTCTATTGTACTTTGGCAACATAACATTAGAGTAATCCCATTTGTATAACAATGTATCACTGAACATGCACTTCACAAGTAACCCAAATTAATTTCTTGTTATCATCTAATTGGACGACAACATAATTTTGGTAAAAAAAAATATTGTCCGATAACATGGCACTAGAGTAATTCAAATTAATTAGTGTTGTATTACCGAACAGGCCCACCACAAATTAAAAAATCATTATTTAAAAGAAAGTGTCTCTGTAAGGGATTGTTTGGGATGTCCTAAATAAGTACACTTTTTGAATTTTTGGACTAAAAAGTTGAGAAAAAAAATATGGTTGTTTGGATTAAGTTTTTGACTTTTTATGGGAAAATGTGTACTAAAAAATTGTATAAATTAGTGTGTAGAGAAAAATTAAGATTGGGAGTTGTGCAGCCGTACTTTTTGACTTTTAGTAAATAGTGATAACTTTTTAACTTTTTGAGTAACTTTTTGACTTTTTAGCCACATGCCAAACTTGGCCTAAATGTATAGCAACAAAATACTAGAGAGATCTATTTTTTCCAGCAATATAATACCAAATAATGTAAATTGTTTAGCACCATGTTACTAAAATTAGTGGTGTAAAAAGATAAACTAGTTAATATATGATTAGTTTTAATAGCATATTGGGGGTGTAATGAGAATTATATTTTTTTTTAGTGGTGCAATGAGATAGAGAATATAAAGAGGTTAAATAGTTGTATAAATAGAATCACCATAAATCATATTATCACTCATTTTTTACATAATTTTTTTTAATTAACTTTTAACTATCTCTTTATGGTTTAATTGGTTAACGATCAAGTCACATATGCTTGTCGTTCTCTTTTGACATTACCTATCCAGCAGTGATCAAGTCCGTTGTAGTAGTCTACCAGAGCAGCTGACCTTACAAACAAAGCAGACGAAAGGTTTGATTTATTAATGTAATTCGGTAGCTCCGAAATCTGAACCCTGCTAGTAAAATTCCTCTCTTTTCGATTCACAGTTAACAGTTAATGGCATCTGTGACCCCCGACGAAATGGGTTCCGGGAAACTTGTTCGTGAGAAGATCATAATCGATACAGATCCTGGTATTGGTATGTTCTCTCTCTCTCTCTCTCTCTTTCTCTCTGTTTTCACCACTGCATAATTGTTTTCCCATTTTATTCCTTAGCTACCTGTTTCAGTGTTGAGTTAATTGGGCTTCACATCATCTCTTTCAATTCTCTCTCCCATATACCCTTTTGATATGTTGTCCCCTACTTGCAAAAATAGATAAACAGTTCAATGTGGTAGGATTTGTGTGTGTGTGTGTAATATAAGTGGTTTAAGTAATAAAATGATAGTTGATTTTAAATGGCAAAAAAATTTTAACAGAGCATTCCATGTCAGTGGAATGCTTATATATTTCCAGTTTTTTAACCGCTTATATTATTGGGCACGAGATTTTATTTACTGAATGATTATTTTTAAACAAGAATCGATCATAAGTATCTGCATATGTAGTTGTTACAAAAATTAATCATAAACATATTATTTGACAAATAAAAAAAAAAAGAGAAAAAAGGAAAAAGAAAAAGAAGTGTCCACTAGCTCAGTTGGGATATGTGGTGGGTGCTGTCACTGCACTTGTGCCGTGACACCTCATGGGATTCGTCCCGAACTTGTTTTGATAATCTCAACCGCTTATAATAGGGTTCGTCAAACATCTTATCCATAAAAAAATAAAAAAAATAAAAAAAGAAATAAAAGAGAGATTAATCGAATGTGTAGCCTCATGATCAGACTTTAAATTAATTTTTTTTTTTTGATAAATGAAATTTTATTACCACAACATCAAGAAGATGCCAAAAGAATACAAAACCAAGGCCCGCAAAACGGGAGCCTAACCAACTACATTATCAACAAAATCTAAGAGAGCAAATAAATCTGGATTCGCCCTTCTTGACACCCAGTTGTACAAAACACCCAAAAACCAAGCTGTGCAATGGATTGAG